AGGGACGATGAAGTAAGGGGGGAGCTAGAAACCGCTTGATGGCGAGGGGCGATGAAGGAAGGAGAGAGCATGATGATCTCATTGACAAACAGTAGCTGTCTGAGATAGCTTCTGTTTGCCGATGAGATCATCATTGCCCCTCTTGCCGCTCGCTCCTCTCTGCATTTGCCTTTCTTGCCGCTCGCTCCTCTCTGCATTTGCCCCTCTTGCCGCTCGTCCCTCTTTGCGCATGAGGTAACCTTCTCTCTATAGATCTTGTGTTTGTGCGGGGTCCTTTTATAGAAATTTTTTAATTATAATTAAAAATTATTTGAATCAATTTTGAAAAAATAGAATTCCTCACAATGTTTTTAGTTCGTGCTTTACGAAACAAATAATTATTGCTAGCCAATCAAAATCTTTGTTGTTGCGATAAATGCAGACATCTCTCGGCAATGCTGCTTTATGTTTTTTTCACAATTTTTATTCATTTCCACTCTTTTAAGGTTCACAGTAGTCATATATGTATTCATTTGTCATCTATGACTTAGTTTACACCGATTGTTTAGTACGCGTGCCAAATACTAAGGCTTAGTTTACACCGATTGTTTAGTACGCGTACCAAGTATTAAATCTGCTTCTTTGATTGGTGTAGATTTCACACTAAACAATTATACCTATCGAAGAAGCAGATTCAGTACTTGGTACGCGTACTAAACAATCGAAGTAAACTAAGCCTAAATCTGCTTCTCCGATAGGTATAAATCGTTTAGTGTAAAATCTACATCAATCAAAAAAGCTGATTTAGTACTTGGTACGAGTACTAAACAATCGGTAAATATTCACACAAGATCCCCTTTTAATAAAATTAAGAATAAATTACATTGTCTTGTTGGCATTTGATTTTATTGATGTAAAATATTGTGATTTATCCATAGCCGCTGTGGATAATATTTGTATTATAAAATTGAATAGACAAGTATTTCTTGCAAAATAGGGTTGTGTAAGATTTAGGATGATCGATAGTTTCGGTAATAGAAAATAAAAGATCTTATTGAAAAACACTAAAGATATATTTAACAAACAAATTAGTTCACACGAGTTTTTGTTAAAAGGTACGCTCACTTTTTTAATCAAATAATGCACGCTCGCATTGAATGTCACTAGATGCACGCTTGCACCGTTCACTTATAAATTGTTCCGTTTTTTATAAATTTGCGAATTCTCCGAACCGAATGCACACTTGTGCGGTCGAAAGGACTCTCTTTTTCCGTGTTCGTCTCTCTTCGCTTGCTCAATTCAAACTGACTCCGAATTAACCGCTTCTTATTTATTTTGCTTTCTTTTATACTCTAGATGGCCTTTTATGTTTTCGATGTACAGGTGGCCTACCGACTAGCTTACCATATATGTATTTATATATCTCTATTACCTATACTCTTACAATTAAAGTCGGTTGATTGACGTTATTACCATTTTTTAAAAGCATTAATTTTTTAATATCTTTAATACGATTGTTACGATGACGAATATGTGGTTCAGATTTGTAATAATAACTACATTTTTTCTTTACATTTTCTTTCTCCTCATTTAATTTTTGATCATTGATTTGATTATTATTATTATTATCGACAATTTCTTCAAAGTTAGGAGATTCTAAGAAATTTCGACAGTCTTTCTGATTTTCTATACTCGATAATATTGATCCTGATCGAAAGTCTCAATGGGAACGAAGCTAAAAATTAATAGTTTTTCGTCTAGAAATATTTTAAAAGTCTTTAACTTTTAACTGTTGCTATGCTGTGATGACATAGCCGGGATATAATGCCGGCTAATGTGTATGCTGTGTGTGTGTGTGTGTGTGTGTGTGTGAGTGAGTGTGTGCGTATGTGTGTGTAGGTATATGCTGTGTGGTTGTGTATACACACGCACGTACACACCCGCCACCCACTCGCATACACACCTATACGGCACATGCAGCACACACACGTACGCACACACACGCATATGCGCACACAGGCGCGCATACGCAAACACAGGCATGCGCACTCACTCCGTACTCCGTACCTGCCATATTCAAATAAAAATTATTTATCTTGCGTTTTAAACAAAAACAAATGTTGGAATTATAAATTTAATCGATTATTAATAATGTACAAACGACGTACAAACGATTAAGCACGATAAATTCATAAATGATAGTTTACGTTACGTAATTGCGACATAGGGGGGCTAACTATCATTGACACAGTTACGAAAACTTTGTAATTTTTTTTTAAATTAACGAAAAATGTACAAACGATAAAAATCATAGTACATTCATGTACAAACGATGTACAATCCGAATATATAAATGTTTTTACGATTTGCGTTAGGGGGGAGAGGGGGCAACTATATAGACCTTAAGGCGATGCTAGAGTGGTCTGTTTTACCAATTTTTTAAAAACACACTATACTTTTTTCTTGGCTGTGTAGAATGAAAAATCCTTTTCTGTAATATATATGCTTATTTAGTGCGGACAGTCGATTTGAAAGGATTTTTCATTCCACGCAGCCAAAAAAAAGAATTTTACGAAAAATTGAAGGTAAGACAGATCGATACCTGTTTTATCTTCAATTTTTCGTAAAATTCTTTAGATTCTCTCTATGGCTTAGTTTATACCGATTGTTTAGTACGCGTATCAAATACTAAATCTGCTTCTCCGATAGGTATACGAGGTGTGATCAAAAAGTAAGGTGACTTTTCATTTTTATAAAAAAATATTCATTTATTCATTCAAAATTATGTTATCCTTTTCAAAATAATCCCTCTCTGATACAATGCACTTGTGCCAGCGCTGTTTCCAGTCGTCAAAACATTTCTGAAATGCACTTTTGGGTATTACCTTGAGCTCCTCCAGCGATGCAGCCTTAATCTCCTCAATCGTCGCAAATCTTCGTCCTTTCATAGGCCTTTTCAATTTTGGGAAGAGGAAAAAGTCGCAGGGGGCCAAGTCTGGTGAATACGGTGGCTGAGGCATGATGATAGTATTGTTTTTGGCCAAAAAACTACTCACTAGTAACGTGTGCGCAGGTGCATTATCATGGTGCAGAATCCATGAATTTTTTTTCCACACTTCCGGACGTTTTTTTCTTATTGATTCACGCAAACGCCGCATAACCTCAAGGTAATACTTTTTGTTTACCGTACGACCTTGTGGTAGGAATTCTTGATGCACAACGCCATGGTAATCAAAGAAAACTGTGAGCAAAACCTTCACATTCGAACGAACTTGGCGTGCCTTTTTCGGTCTTGGCTCTCCTGGTCTCTTCCACTGGGATGATTGGGCTTTGGTTTCGACGTCATAACCATATACCCATGTTTCGTCACCAGTTATAACCCTTTTGAGCAGATCAGGATCATCATTGACGTCGTTCAACATGTCTTGGGCGATGTTCATGCGACGCTGCTTCTGATCAAAATTAAGCAGTTTTGGAACGAATTTCGCTGACACACGTGTCATACCCAAAACATCCGTTAAAATTGATTGGCATGAGCCAAACGATATGTTAAGATTGTAACAGCACGCGCTGTTACTAAAGCGTCACGCGGGCTCCACGTGAGCACCCCCATTTAGGGCCGCATTCCGATCCCCCAACTCGAGGGTAAAAGCTCGAGAAGGGGTAGCTGCTGGGTAGGGTAGGACCCCAAGTGGGGGTAGCGCGACCGGTATAAAAGCCGGCTCGCGGAACAGATCGAGACCCATTCCCCGAGTACGACTCGGACAAGCCTCAGGGCGCACCCTGAAGCTCCGGTCGTACTCGCTCCCATCCCGATAGTCGTTGTAGGG